ACTCATTTTCAACAATGCTTTCTTCCTTGTCCTGTTCGATTGCATTTTCGACGTCATTATTTTGTTCCATATTGCCATGCAAATGCAACAACTTCTCTAAATCTTCTTCAGATCTTATAACTCTAATCATATCACCAGGAATTGCTGAAGTTGCAAGGCCCATTTTCATTGGACAACCAAACATTGCTTCGTAGGGAGAACATTTGATTCCCTCGTGATATGCTCTATTTTTCATTGCCTGGATAAATCTTTAACCCTCTGACCACTTTAATAACTGATTGGTTTCCATCCACGTGATCAACATATTTTCTATGTCTTGATTAGCGCGCTCCACTGATCCTTGACTTTGACTACGCCTTGCCTTTCCATGTACGATTTTTACATCCGGCCACATGGAGCATAAACTCTCAATAACTTGGTTAGAGAATTCTTGGCCATTATCGGAATGAAGGATGCTCGACGCTCCAAAAGTGGTGAAAATATCCAAAAAATGGTATGCAACTTCTAGGGTGCGTTTAGTTTGAAGTGCACGAAGGATCACAAATTTGGTAAGATGGTTTTGGTAAACTAAAATAAATTTATAATTTCCATCTGGGGTAGTTTGTAGAACTATTAGATCAACCTGACAGCGTCAGTTCATTTCACTATGAAGTATAGGTCTGATGACAATGCCCTTTTTCAAAGTCTTCTATTTCTTTTGGCAAGGTTGACATAGCTTCAAATATGTCATAGTAGCCTCAACTGTTGCATTTTTATACTTGCGGTTACATTCCTTAAGCATCCGTGCCCTTCCACTGTGGCCAACAGCAACATCTGTTTCTTCGAGAATGTTGAATAAGTCCTCGAAACAAATGTAATACCTTATTTCTCCATCCTCCTCCTTCATAGGCGCAATTAGTTTTTCTTCGCCGCCTATAGCCAGAATGTCGTGACGCTTTATATGCCTGTAATGAACAGCTTGTTTCTTTTTCATGTTCTTTGCAGCTTTTACTTCCTCCAAACACTTTGCATATTTGTCCCTATTGAAATAAAAGTTATTATCTTTCTTGCTTGCAATGAGCTCGTTTATTGTTTCATAAAATTTCCATTTCACACTCGTCTTGATTCATAAATAACTTTTAGACAGAGAAATCTCAAACAAGATTAGAATTACTGTGCGCATTCTAACGTGTCAAACGATGGAATGCGCCGAGCGAAGGCGGCGGCGGCGCGGTGCGGTACGGGATCGGGACTATTTTTTCAACATTTACCATGTCTCTGATATAAAACCTAAGATATACCGAGTAAATGCTGGTAAAAGTTCGAAATTAACAATGATCGCAGAACATTTCGGACTTTTACCACAATGATTTGGTAAATCTTAGGTTTTACTGGAAAATCTTAGGATTTACCATAGTTCGAGCATTTACAGTAACATATACAATACTTTTCAGAAGAAAACTTTTTCATATAAAGTATTTATGTTAAGTTTTAATGTTTTCAAACATTAACATAAATATTTCAAATTAAAACTACAATAAAAATATATGAAGTCCGAATCTCACAATTGAAATTATTAAGGGAAGAGAGTTGTTTAAACCTTTCTTTGTTTCGGAAAGCGTGAAATGAGAGAAAGAAAAGATGTTTTTAAGCAAGAGCCTTTTCCTCGAGGTTTTTCCTTCGAGAAGAAGTGTCAATAACTTCTCCCACTTATCTTGACACGAAGTTATAGTCTTTGTCTACCACAACACAACGGTCGGAGTCTTTTTATATCGAAACGATAAAATGTCTTCCTCTCAAAAGAACCATTCTATCCTTCCGGAGGTACAAGACTCATTCGAGGCGTTTCAGCTCACTTCCGAGCGGTTACGTTGAATGTTTTTCTATCTTTGAGGAACAACGCCACTATCTTTACTGACGTCATCCAATACACGTGTAAAAATTGTTTATGTTTATCATTAAAACGCGATTGTTTATTGTAGAACGCGATTGTTTATTGTTATTGGTGTCACGGTGTCTGGTTTCTGTGTATATGAATAATTGTATACGAATATGACATTTATATACAATTATTCATATACAATTCATTCCCTCGCGTCTTCTTCAAACGTCAGAGTCGAGAAACTCTACTTTTAAGATAGGAAGTTTTCCCAACAAGACGTCGGTAAACCTCACAAATATTTTTTAAAATTGAATTTTTAAAATAATTATAATCAATATAAAGTTTATAGGTAAAAGAACAAAAGCAAAATAACTTACGTAGCTTATATCAATTTATTTAATTCCAGGTAAAGGAAGGGAAATGAATCGAAGAATTGTACAGATTATATTATCTAAATGGTTCGAAATTTTGGGGAGAACGGTTAGTCGATATCCAGCTTACTTTATTATTATACCTGTACTAATCACGTTAATTCTTTTTCCCGGGTGCCTGAATTTCAAAGAAATTACAGATATTGACTATTTATTTGTCGCTGAAAACGGAGAATTTGTGAAAACTAAAGAAAAAGTAGAAAAATTATTTCCCTTGAACATGTCCGAATGCGCCGATATTCCAAGAATAACGCATCGCTTAAAGAGTCCAAGTGTATACGTGTTAGGTATCGATACAGAAAACATGCTGCAAGAAAATATTTTGAAAGAAATTAAAATGTTAGATATTATCGTGAAAAACTTGACCGTTAAGAAGAATGAATTGGATATTGGATACGAAGAATTTTGCGGTATAATCAATGGAAGATGCTTCGTAAATCCCATTTTAAATGTAATTTCTAAGTTGGAAAAACGTGTTTCTAACTGGAACAAAATTAAATATCCAATTGATATAGATCCCGTAACGTTTTCGTACGAAGCTTATGGCATTAATTTAGGTGGAGTTACTGTTGATGATGGTGATTATGTTAAAAATGTACGTGCATTAAGGCTGGTGTATTTGATGGACGAAACAGATCCAGAGAAGATAGTATCGATAGAAAAATGGACGAAATCAGTGTTTAAGAAATTATCTGAAGTAAAGTTTAAGAATATTCGAGTAATTCCTGATTTTATAAACCTCGTGGATGGTTCTTATTTATTATATATAAAAGGCATAACGCCTTTCATAGCAGTGTCAATAATATTAATAATGATTTTTTCTGCGATATCGTTCCTTACTAATAGTTGGAAAAGAAGTAAACCTTGGCTAGGAATTTCGTCTTGCATATCAGCTGGATTGGCCATTTGCTCTTCATTTGGATTTGCTTCTTATTGCGGTCTGGAGTATTCAGCCACCAATATTACAATTCCATTTTTAGTTATAGGTAAGAGATTAGTGTTTAAATTAAATTCTGTGTCCTGTTATAATGAACTGATTTTTATATTTTTATAAATAAATAAATACTTCTGGATAGTTAGTAAATTTTCCACATAATATTAAATATATTTTTTAACTTATCAGTTCATTACAACAAGTTCCCTACTTCATTCATTTATTTATATTGTTTTTCTGTTTTTATACAATATTTGTGAAAACTAAAGAAAAAGTAGAAGAATTATTTCCCTTGAACATGTCCGAATGCGCCGATATTCTAAGAATAACACATCGCTTAGAGTCCAAGTGTATATGTGTTAGGTATCGATACAGAAAACATGTTGCAAGAAAATATTTTAAAAGAAATTAAAACGTTAGATCTTATCGCGAAAAACTTGACCGTTAAGAAGAATGAATTGGATATTGGATACGAAGAACTTTGCGGTATAATCAATGGAAGATAACTTAATAACTTCATTAAGTGTTTATTAGTAAGAAATGTGGACTTTCTAGTATTTAATATTATGCCGTATTTAAAATAAGTATTTTGAAATGTATAAATGTCATTTGGGAGAATTATTTTATTTATTACCTTTTATTACACAAGGTGTGTCACGACAAATGAGTGCCATCCTGATACAAAGAAACACGAAAGTACAAACTTTCGACCAACCCTAATAACATATAATGATAACAATAACATCCGGCGTATAAAGATACACCTGCTAGCAATTAATAATTTACGAAACCATTAGTCCTAAATTTTTTATTATTCAAAATTATTCGAACATAGAGAATCATCTGTGTCGTTGATCGCGGCATGTATTCTATAAAAATATGACTATTATATCATAGATAAACGGTAACGTGGCAGGAAAAAGTATGAATAATTTTTAATGTACAAATATTAGTTTCTGTTTAGTTGATTTTACTACTACCTGGTTCCGTACGACTTAAAAGACACTCACAATTTATTAAAGCAATATGTAGCGTCATCTGTTATCAGATTTTATCTACAAACTTTAATTTGTTGCTAATTGCTAAAATCTCTCTCTCTCTCTCTCTCTCTCTCTCTCTCTCTCTCTCTCTCTCTGGTCTGTCATGACCATACTACATCTATATTCTGTATTTCTTCGATTAAACCCCTGAAAATAATTTTTTAAACCTATGTCTTTTTCGGGTTTATTTTGAAGATCTTAAAATAAAAACCTTGTTATTCGATTCTATACAATTTGAAGATATAGAAATTTAGTTAAATTCCTTACTTGCTATTTCAAACTACATTACACTGTGCAGTATAGTACTACGGGTTTCCCATGCTTTTCAACCTGGAGTTCATTTTTAACAACACTTTTATTTTCAGGAGTCTATTTGAATCCCGGAGTTTAACCGAGGAAATGCTGTATATCTAGATAAGGTTAACACTGAAAATTATTAATGTAAGAAAAATACATTAATGAAAGAGAAAAATACAAAAGAAAGGGTTCAAACGCTTTCGAGTACTACACACTCAGTATCGAGAACAGCGTTATTATTCCTAATAATGAGTACAGGATTGCTTAAAAATTTATAACCGCATTTTGATAAAGTTTATATATTTTAATTAATTAACGACTGACAACTTATAATTAATTGCAAAAAAAAAATAATTATTAAAATTTATTTTTTATAATTAAGCAACCGAAATTGACGATTCCTGTATTTTACTGGCCTCTTGGAGATCAACCGATTTTATGAAAAGTGTGGAAAAACGATTGTCAAAAACATATTCTGAAGCTGCAGTTTCCATCACTCTGACGTCTTTAACAAATTTCATATCTTATTGCATTGGAATGACTACCCCGTTTCCCATCGTTAGAATATTCTGCACATATGCAGCAATTTCCATCTTATTTACATTCTTGTACCAAATCACATTTTTCGGAGGATGCATTGCAATAAGTGGGTTTCGAGAATATAACATCATGCAAAAATCACCAGATTACAAGGAAATAGGTATAATTCACACTACTTCAAACTTATACTTTTAAACGTCTTTATTTAATCTTAATTTTTTAATCTATAAACTTTAGGTATTAAAAGTAATTCTCAAGAAGATATATTTAAAGAAGAAATCTGCATGAAATTTTTTCGGGATCTAATTGATAAAATTCTTTCTTCGACATCAGCCAAAATTATTATTATCCTCCTTTATTTCACTAATTTGGGAATTGGAATATGGGGAATTTTTCATCTAGTTGAAGGTTTTGATATTTCTAAAGTCTTTCCTGTCGATTATTCAACTGAAAGTATTGGTGTGTATTATAAATACTTTACTCAATTTTCTTTGCCAATTCAAATTATAATAGAAGAACCTCTAAACTATGCTGACCCCCAAGTTCAACAATCCATCGACAAATTAATTCATAAAATGGAATCTCATCCGCACATTTCTTCAGATTTAACTGTTTGGTGGCTTAAATACTACAATGTCTTTTTGAATCACGATATTGCTAAGTTTTCTTTGAAGGGATATAACATATCATTAAAACAAGATTTTATCGATGGTTTACGCAATGTATTCTTTCGTTTTAAAAGTGCTTATCCATTTAGATACGATGTTAAATTCAATAAAAATGGAACCAAAATCGTTTCTAGTAGAATTATTTTCATATCGAAAAATGTCACAAATAGAATAGAAGAAATAAAATTAATGAAAGATGTTAATAAAATCGTAAAAGATTCTAAGCTTTCTGTAAAAGTATTTTCATTATTTGAGAATGTAGTGGAACAAGCTACCATAATTCGTTCTATAATTTTTCAACTGATATGGGTCACAATTCTAATAATTATTATCCTATTTTATATATTTATTCCTTATATAATTTGTACAATTCTTGTATCCATTTCTGTAGTAAGTTCTGTTGCTGAAACAATTGGATTAATGGCATTTTGGGATATTAACCTCGATATTATATCAACGATGATTCTAGTACTCTGCTTTGGTTTTTGCATTAATTATCCAAGTCACATTGTTTTTGCCTTTTCTAATTACACAAAGAAAAGCGATAACTTAGGAGAAAAATTAAGCTTTTGTGCATATTTAGTTGGATTTCCAATATTTCAGGGTTCTTTATCGACAATTGTAGGAGTTTGTGTATTTTTGTTCAGTCCTATGTACGTTTTCATTACTTTTTTTAAAATAGTCTTTATTATAGTTATGCAAACAGCCTTTCATTCAATGTTTTTTATTCCAGTTTCTATAGATTTTTTAAATAAAGCTTGTTGTCTTAACAAAAAAGCTGATAAAAACCCTTCATCTCAGGTAAATGGCAAAATATAAAATACAGTACTACTTTGTATTTAACGTTTGTTAATATTATAGATATAATAAATAAACGTTCATTATATCATTGATCTAATATACTTAGGCCTATATAAATGAAAAAGTTTATTGTAAGCTTAAATAATACAATAATACTTAAAAGGACCGGATCAATAAAAGTCTGGGGCTAAGTATTCAGACATTCCTGGATAATCAATTCCCATTTCTTAAGGATTTAACAGTCTTGTAAAGAACATGCTTATTATTATTATTATATGATAAAATAAAAGTAGAATTATTTTAAATGAGAAGAAAAAAAGGCGCCGTTATGAGTCATTTCTGTCTTGGAACTTATGCAGTTGCATATTTTTCTTAATGATTAATCCAGCCCTGTTATTTAACTGATGATAGATTGTTTATTTATTTGTTTACTACTTTTAAATGTTAATTTTAATCGTACGTTTTAAATTTTTGCAAAAAGTTGCAATTAGAAATCAGGATAATGAAATTCAAGAAAAATTAAGATGTTTTGTTTTAAATTAAAAACCGTCGAAGTATAATAATATGTCTATGGTTATCGTGCTTAACTGACGTTAAGAATGATATTTCAATTTCTTAAAATAAATATAAAACAAATTCGATATCGTAAGATAAAGAAATGTGAAATTCATCATACATTGTAAGATATTTAAAAAGAGATAGACAAATAAATAGATTTTATGTTTGAATTATAAAACAGTTTAAATAATCTTTAGATATTTACGATTGAACAAATTTTATGAATAAGTGTTTGAATATTTTTGTAATGTTGAAATGCGAATAAAATAATCATTTATTTTAGGTCTGTTCTTTTACCTTCCATTTTAAATTTACTCTATCATAATTATACTGAATATCAAGATGTACTTGTAAAATATCTCTATGTAAAGACTCTACTTGTAAAATATGAAATAATACTACTGCAAATATTTGTACGTAAGCATAAAAGCATACTTTACATTTTTAATAAGTATTAAATAAAATTTTTAAAGAAATAAACATAAATAAGCTATAAGTTACATGAATTAGTTATTCCTTTTTATACGTAAACACAAAATATATTCATTTCTCATGTAAAAAAAGATGATAAAGATTTTAGTAAATACTATTTTAATTGCAATTAAATATTGACCTAGTAATATAATACTTAATACGTTCTCTACTGATAATACATCAATCAGTCAAGAGTCTAATCTCAACTTTTAAAATTAGTTTCATTTATCAAATATGTTATCAGCAATTATAAATAACTGTAATTACTTAATTCGTTTATGTTGTATTTATTAAATGTAAATTTTTTTATTCAACTTTATTAAAAGTATAAAATATTCAGTACCTAAAGTAGTTATGTGCTAATCATTATTCTGTTATGGTGTTTTTGTCCGTATTTTTAAGTCATTTCCAGAATCATTAAGTAAAGAAAATCATTATTTATTATAATAAAAATCTATTTTAATTATAAAGAAAATATTAAGTTTTATGAATACTGTGAAAGAAAGTAAAAATTAGGTCACTGTCCTGTTTGGTCTGCTACGTCTCTGTGTGGCACGGTGTCTCCTCTCATTCAGCTTTTCTTCGTGTTACATATTACTGTATATTTCTATGCGTCATTAGATTCGTTTATTTGCCTTCATTTTCTGACAGGTTATGGGTACAGCAGCTGATTCATACGTTTATGTATTCGGGAAGGAAGAAGATTGAGTGATAATCATCGTTTATGTAGACGATTTAATTAATATTGGCAGCGAAGAAGATTGAAAACCTTGAGACCATTAAATCGAAACTAAAATCTGCATTTAAAATAGTAGACCTAGGTCTTATAAGTAACATTTTAGGCGTTGAAATAAACAGAGAAGGGCCAACAAGTAGCGTCCGTTTAAGGCAAACAAAATATATTTAATGAACTGATGAAGAGATTCAACTTAGTGGATGTGAAAACTGTCGCTACACCGATAGAGTCAAATATGAAAATTTAGAAGAAAATGGGTCCAATCTCCGAAAGCGAGAGAAAAATCGGCATGAAAAATCGGCCTTATAGAGAGCTCATCGAAAGTCTTATCTGCATGGCAAACGCGACACGTCCAGACATTGCTTTTGCTGCGAGCACATTAAGTCGTTTATGTGCTGATCCCGGTAAAACACATTGGATGATTGCGAAGCTGTTTTGAGAGATCTCAAAGGTACTTCTATGTATGGAATAACATACGTCAAGAAGAACAAAGATCTTAGAGCCTACACGGATTCGGATTAGGCTTAAGACGTAGACAACAGAAAGTCGTGTACAGGTAACATTCTGATATTAGCAAGCGGTCCGATTAGTTGGAAGTCAAAGAAACAGACATCTGTTGCAATGTCGACCATGAAAGCAGAGTATTCAGCTCTAGCTGAAGCTTCGCTAGAAATAACTTACATAAAAAGGCAGTTAGTTCATATGGGTTTTAAAAGATGTATAAAAAAACGCCACTTGTGTTTACTGCGATAACTAAAGCGCGATACAGTTATCGAAGAATGCAGTTTTTCACTAGCGTAGTAAGCATATCGACGTAAGCTATCATGTCATTCGAGAATTAGTCGAAAAAGGGAAAATTGTGGTTTATTATTTGAGGACGGACCTAATGATCGCAGATTTCCTAACGAAACCGCTAACGGAAACTAAGTTCGATAGATTCGTGAAAATGTTAAAATTAAATTGAAATAATTGATATTTGTTATGTATATGGCACACATCGATAGAGGGAGTGCGAAAGAAAGTAAAAATGTAATCCCTGTGTGCTAAAACATATTTTGTATTAGACGACGCTATGCTGGCGAACTTTACATTTTTAGGTCACTGTCTTGTTTGGTCTGCTACGCACGGTGTCTCCCCCATTCACTTTTTCCTCATGTTACATATAACTATACATTTCTGTGCGTCGTTAGATTCGTTTATTTGCTTTATTTTCTGACAAATACTTATTAATATCGTTAATTATGTGAAATTTTATTTTCATTTGGTAGCTAAACAAAGCATTTTTAAAACCAGAATAAAATAAACTTATTTAAATAATGTAATAACTAACAACAGTGGCGCATTATCCTATAGAAAAAAAGAGCGATTGACTGGGGCCTCTATCAACAGGGGGCCCAAATCAATGTTTTAAAAGAAAATATTTCCCCTAACACATTCCTCCGAAGAAAAATGTCTGAAGTAAACTCTATACAAGGGGCTCCCTAATTCAAATTTTTCTGGATCTCACGAAGTTGTAACGCAACACTGATTGATAATGATGTACGCAAATTTAAGCACAAAATATCGATGCGTACTATGTATACTAACGTAACCTAAAAATATACAGTAACGATAACCAACTCATTTCTCACGAGCAACGTCTTTTATATCATATTTTTAGATTAAAGAAATCAGATGGATAACGTAGGTTACGCGTTTGAGTGTAACAAGTTTGACCAATCATAACGCGAGTTAATGGCGCTTTTACTAAATATGGTTACATAAAAAATTGGGTCAGACAAGTGGCCCAATTTCGGAATGGCCAGTAGTTATCATATGCCGCACTTACCTTAACAGTTCATAAGTATCATTTAAAGTTATTGAATATTATTGCTGTGATTAACTTTGAATGAAAATATCAAATGTATTATCTTTTAAATTTATCACTTTTTCTGATTATTCCTTTTGTTTTCTGGTATAAGTAAGTACTTGATATATAATGTTTTAAACAATATTAAAAAAATATTAAAATATCTTGTAATTTAAATTATTTTAAGGCCAAATTATTAATGAAGTACAAAGATTAATTGTAAAAATTTTAGTCGCTATTTTTGTTAATTTAATATCTATATTTTTAAGTTAAAGTAATACAAGTAAAAAAATCGAAGACGTGCTGAGTTCACTTCTGAAATATTTTTATTTACTTGATTATTTACAATTAATCAAATGCGAATGAAACGTCAAAGTAAGAAAATTTAAATAAATAAAAAATATACATATATTTTAAGTTTTAGAACTGAACATTCTATTGTTACATTATTTGAAATAACTCATGAAATTCTGAAAAATTTATTTTATATTTTAGATAATAATTTACATTTTCGAGTTTATAAAAATTTGCAAATGTTTTGATACTTTTAGAGAAATCTTTTTTATTTTAAGATAATTTTTTAAACATTAAACAAATTTTGTTGTTAACCACTACAGATTTAAATAAAACGATAAGTAACTAAATAGGTTAATAGGTAGCGCAAACAAGAATAGTTAGTTAATGCTTAGAAAATTATTTTAAGATAAAAAGATTTTATAATACGGTAAAGGTGTTCATTGTTTCTCTCATTTACATTTATTAATTATAAAATTAATATTATAAAAAGTATAGCATGCTACAATATATCGAAGATATCGAAATGTTATAATGATTTATAATGTGTGTAATGATTTTAAAGTTGGTAAAAATAATCTTCTAAAATATATAAAAATTTTCTGATATTTAAATATTATCACACTGAACATTTGTAAATTAATATATTCATTTAAAATATAAACTTAAATATTATTTAATTATTATTAAACGTTAGTAACATTGTCGAAAACAAAATTGCGTTTTGTTATAACAATTTAAATTAATCTAACTATTCAAAGTTCTCCTGTGATATTAAAGAATATAATTGCTGAATTTATTTATTATTTGTTCTCAAGTAATATTTATGCATAAATTTAAACATTCACAAAATGTTTAATACTAAAAGTTAATTAATGTAGACTAATACATTTGTAGAATGTTGACATATATTATCGAGTTAAATGCGCTAATTGAGACGGAGTGTTGAAAACGTAAATAGCATATCTTTTTCTAAGAATACCTCATGTTTTACTTGAAGATATAAAACTTTTACTGATTTTTACGATATTTACGATTTCGTCAATTATACGCATTACATATTTATTTTTTAAAATATTATACATCAACTAGAAATGTTTAATTTCTAGCTAATATAACTGGGATTTCTAGGTTTCTAGTTAATGATTAGCCAATTATACACAACATTTCAGTGGCGTAGCGTAGTGGGGGCGACACTTTTAGGGGGCGACAAAATTTCACAATAAATAATAATAATACCTTATAAAAATTTGAACCATTTCATTTCATATTTTTGTCGCACCTACGATTAGGACCGATTGAAATGAGCACGGAATTGTTCATTACTTATTCTGTGACGAAACTGAATTTTAGTATTTTAAATTGAGATATCTAAATAAGGGGGCGGCAAAATTTTTCTCCGCCCCCGGGCGGCTGACACCCACGCTACTCCACTGCAACATTTATTCCGTTAATATGATTATTTAACTAAAATTAGTTCACTGTACTTATAAAATCATTTTTAGATTCGCGTATAAAACATTCTTAGCTCTAAAATTAGATTTAAAATTTGGACGTGTATTCAGTTGGTAGAGAAATTTCGATAATTATCTTCTTCTTCTTTTTACTAATCTGAAACCGTGCTTCAAACTTTGTTGCTTCAAACACAATAAAGTGTTATAAATTAAGACACTTGGCGGTTTTCTCATCTTTTATTCAGTTGATACGTGTGAAATTATGCACGTTTCGGGCTCCTAAGTCATCAGCCCCTCATCAGAAAACAAAGCGTTCTAGTATTGAAACGGCGGATATCATCAAATTGAAGGAAGATGAAAGTAACCCAACACCAAAACAACACATACAAGATGAAAAT